ATCTTTCTTGCAGTGAATGAAGCTACTCCAGTGTTCAAAGCTGTGGCCCAGCTCCTAGAGAAACCTTTTTTCCATGCACTCTCTAAGGGGTTTGGGTGCCATGCTTAGTGCTCAAGAAGTTTATAAAAAAGAAAAAGAGACCTACTGCAAACTTCCCTAGGCAGCATTTTAAAGCCTTGTGTCAAACTTTCAAAATCCCAAGAAGATAAACACAATTGTTAAACATTTAATGTTTCTTATACCTGGGTTACTTCTTTTAGTAAAGTGTATGATAGACTTGGGGTTTCTGGATCTTGTGCTACATGTGCATTGGGGGCCCTTATAAGTTGCACAAAACATTTATGCACAAAAGAAGGATAAAGAATGTGTATGTCTAGGACATAAAGGTCCTTTATAACTATTTATTACATGAATACATGAAGTTCATTTTTAATTTGTGAAGACATTTATTTATTTTATGACATGGTTTGTTGTAGTCATGATTTTACTTAAAGTTGAATCTTTTCTGGGAGCAAAGCCCCAATAATTATCTTGGAAAAATAATCCACTTTAAAGTTATACCATTTACAACACAATATCTAGAAATTCATTGAAGTGAAAAGTGGGCACTGGTAATGTATCTGTGTAGGTGGATCATGAATGAACATACTTATGTACACATATAGATCTGAATATCTCATTAATATTAAGGACCTAACTGGGCATTTCTCATAATTCATATTAGATTCTGTAAACATCAAGAGTGTATTACATTTTTTATAATTTAGATAATTTTTTTTGTGTGCTGGGAATCCAAATCGGAACCTAGGGACCCAACTCAGGGTGCGTGCTAGGCAAGTACTCTGCCACTGAGCTACATCCCTAGCTATGTATAATTTTATGGAATTAAGTTAGCTATTATTTCTAGCAGTACAAATTTTCATCATACTTTTGTGTGTGTGTGCTGGGAATTGAACCCAGGGCCTTGTGCATGCAAGGCAAGCACTCTACCAACTGAGCTATACCCCAGCACCCATACTTTAAAAATATTTATTTTTTGGTTATAGGTGGATACAATATCTTTATTTTTTAATTTATATGGTGCTGAGGATTGAACCCAGTGCATCATGCATGCTAGGCAAGTGCTCTACCTATGAGCCACAACCCCAGCCCCCCATACTTTTTTTTTTCTAAATGTTTATTTTTTTAGTTGTAGTTGGACACAATACTTTTATTTTATTTATTTTTATGTGGTGCTGAGGATCAAACCCAGGACCTCACACATGCCAGATGAGTAATCTACTGCTGAACCACAACCTCAGCCACCCCATACTTTATTTTAAATATTTATTTTTTAGTTGTAGTTGGACACAATACTTTTATTTTATTTATTTTTATGTGGTGCTGAGGATCAAACCCAGGACCTCACACATGCCAGATGAGTAATCTACTGCTGAACCACAACCTCAGCCACCCCATACTTTATTTTAAATATTTATTTTTTAGTTGTAGTTGGACTCAGTACCTTTATTTATTAATTTTTATGTGGTGCTGAGAATCAAACCCAGGGCCTCACATGTGCTAGGTGAGCACTCTACTGCTAAGCCACAACCCCAGCCATATATTTTTTTAAGAGACAGTGTCTCGCTAAGTTGCTTAGGGCCTCTCTAAACTGCTGAGGCTGTCTTTGAACTTATGATCCTTCTGCTTCAGCCTCCTGAGCAGCTAGGATTACAGGGGTGTACCACTATACCAGGCAGGGAAATAATCTTTGATGTAAGCAATGAGGAACAAGTGAAGATTCCAAATGATACAGGGATTACAATTAGACTCAACTTTAAATTTTCTTTTTTTCCCCCTCTTTTCTTCTCTCTCTTTTTTTCTTTTTTTGGTTTCTTTGTTTGGTGCTAGAGATGGAACCCAGGGCTTTGCACCTGGCTAAGCAAGTGCTCTACCTCTGAACTACACCCCAGCCTAGAGCTGAGCCACAACTCCAGCCCCCTCAATACTTTTTAATAAGTCTAAAATTAGTAGGTTTCAGAAACAATAACCTCAAGAAACTAGGAGGACCATCCAGGTGTTATTAATTTCTGGGTCCATAAAATTAACTTTTATTTACTAGTGGAATATATACTTATTACATATAGTGTTAGCATATACAGACAGTCTTTGACTTATAATGTTTCAGCTTTAAATTTTTTTTTTTACTTTATAACAGGGCAAAAAAATACATATACAGTAGGAAACCTAATTTTGAATTTCATCTTTTCCCAGGCTAGTGATATGCAGTATGATAGTTTGTAGCTATGATGGGCAATGCTGGTGAGCCAGGTGCAGCTTCCAGTCAGCCATGTGATAAGGGGTATAAGGAAATAATCCATACTCCACCAAGTTCTGTGTTAGTAAGTTATGAAGTTTGTTAGGTGTGTCAAATGCATTTTCAATTTAATGATACATTATGATAAATAATGATGAACAGGTTTTAGGGGTCATAATCCCATTGTAAGTCAAGGAGCACTGTATATAATCTAAAGCATATTATCTACTTTCACTCATCTCAAACTGTAACAATATCTGTTTATAATGTATTTGTTATTAAATGACAGGCTCCCAGGGTAATGTGAGTATTGCCAGGAAAGGAAGGATATTTGGTAAGAAACCTGACAGCTTGGGGTCTGGGCTTTTTTGTATGTTCATAAACTCAATATTGTAAATGTCACAGAGTTGATTGATGCTGGGAATGTGGATTCACACTAAGGACTTTCACAAGAGATTGATATATAAATCAGAAGGCCAGTTTTTTATAAAGACAAACATATTTGTTTACACAGATTTGAAAATAGCAAAGTTTTTCCCTGTGGGAGGGTCTTCATGGGAAGCCAAATTACAATCTGAAGATTATTGGTACCATAGAATCAAGACAAGGTAAGTTAGTTGCATAATACCATTTGCTATGATTGCTCTAATTATCCGTCTCCCCAATATTAACTAGAGTATTTGTTCCCTTGTGTATTTGTTTTATTGATCAGAGCATAGCTATCCCATTTCTTGAGTAGTGCCTAACTCAGATTTTTAGACAATTTCTTCTATGCTTTCTTTGATGACCAAAACCCTCAAACTGGCATAATTTTGTTTTCAACTAGCTTTTCTTTTAAAAATTACATCATCAAAATGTGTTTTTTAGGGCTGGGGTTGGCAGAGTGCTTGCTTTGCATGCACAAGGCCATGGGTTCAATCTCCTGCACCATACACACAAAAATGTGTTTTTTAGCTGTGTCAGATTACATCAGTAGTGCTCACCTAAAGGCTTTTGAGCCATATCCCCAGCTCTTTTTTATGTTTTATTTGGAGAGAGGATCTTGGTAAATTGCTCAGGGCCTTGCTAAATTGCTGGGGCTGGCTTTGAATTTGAGATCCTCCTGTTTCAGCCTCCAGACCGCTAGGATTACAGGTGTGCACTCCCATGCCCAGCTGAGGCTGTCTATCTTTCAAGTAAATTATCTCTCTTGGTTTATAGTTCAACTTTTAAGTATGGGGAGGTAGAGGACTGGAACCTGGTGACTTTTATTTAATAATTCTATGGGGGGTTGGGCGTGGTGGCGCATGCCTGTAATCCTAGCGGCTCGGGAGGCTGAGGCAGGAGGATTGTGAGTTCAAAGCCAGCCTCAGCAGAAGTGAGGTGCTAAGCAACTCGGTAAGACCCTGTTTCTAAATAAAATACACAGTAGGGCTGGGATGTGGCTCAGTGGCTGAGTGCCCCTGGGTTCAATCTCCGGTACCCCCACCCCCAAAAAAAATTCAATGGGGGTACCTTACTGTGGTTAGTGGAGTTACTAGATAACAAACAGGATGCTCAATTAGATTAAGACAATTGAGTACTATATATTTTCAGTGTAAGTATGTTCAAATATCAGATATACTTACATTAGAAAAGTATTCATTGTTTATCTGAAATTCAAATTTAGGAGTCTTGCATTTTTATTTGCTAAACTTGAAAACCATACCAGTATATTAACATGAAGCTATGAGACTTGCTTGAGTTTGTGCTGGTTGGTATGCAGTAATCCATTTGGGTGTCTCAGGGAAAAAAACAGACCCACTTTAAAAAAAAAAAAAAAAAAAAAAGAAGTTAAACGTAGGTTCCACCAAAGCGTGGACGAATCTTGACCCTTTGAGGAACCCGTAACTGACGCAACTGTTATAAAGGCTGTTTTGGTGGATTCCCCGCCTCCTCCATTCTTCCTTCCTGCAACAAGAAAGAACTGTTCTAACTCTTCTTCCTTCTCAAGTCCCGCCCTTTCAGGTGTCCGCAATGGAGAAGAATCGGTTACCCAAAAGGAGCCTGTGAGAGTGCCGACGTGGAGTTCAGAGGAGCGGAAGTCGTCAGATTTCACTGAGAGCCGTAAAGCGCGTCTGGCTTGTTCACCTTCCGGATAACGACAACAGCTCCGACTCTCAGTGCCGGCCTTCCTCGTGTAAGGGGATCTGCCGGACCCTTGCTAATTCAATTTCTTTCCCTTTCCGGGCCCTTCCCTATCGTCGCCCCCTTCACCTTGGATCATGTTCAAGAAGTAAGGACATGTGTGGCCTCCATAGGCTGCTCACAAAGGCGGTGGGAGTGGGGTGGGGAAGAGGGCGAGAGCAACAATCCTCTTTCTCTCTCCCCCGCCCCTGCCATCCTGACTCCCTAAGGTTTTCTATAGTATATGCTCTCACTCGCAACTTGCAACACTTCTTTAAATTTTCAATCCCTAATCCTCAATCTGGCTTCGGTCCCTCCACTCCCATTTTCTTTCTCCTTAACTCTCTTCTTTTGCCCCCCCCCCCAATCTATCGCCATTCCTAGGGTTCTACCAATCACATTCTTGCACTGTGATTTAGGGGCATATCCTCTTTAGGTGAGAGGGGAGCCCTGCACTCGCTGCCATATGTTTATTAGTTATGAACTGAATAAAGGAAGGCTTGACTTCCTGGGTCATGGGAGTGAAGGAGTGTGGGTGACAGGAAGCAAGCGGCCTGTCATGCCTATTGCCTAGCTGCCAGATTAACCTTGTCTTGGAAATAACGTGATTGCCCCGTAGGCTATTCAGTGTAAGGAAGACAGAATTCCTTGGGAACCTACCTAGTGGGTTTACCTTCCACATTTGGTAGAGGCAAAAAGCAAAGGGGAACATGGGCAAAGGAAGGTGGGTTTTGTGCATGAAAATTTGAGAAAAATAGATAGGGATCTTAAAAATTATATCATCTTCACCACTTTAAAAAAATGTTAGCAGATTACACTGCCTAAGAACAGCTGATTTTTCTGTGTTATGCTTGGTTTTGGCCTTTTGCAACTTAATGCTTAAGGCTTTTTTTTTCTTAACAGGTTTTATTATTTATGGGAATATGTTTCTTCCTTTGAGTAAGATTAGGTAGCTGATTACAGATTATAGTGCAAACTGTGTTTTATCCATAACCCCTTCCCCCAGCTAATTGCTATATATGTGACAATTTATTATTAAAACATGGTTTTGTATTGGGCAAAAAAGGGAAATGGCGTTTCAAAAAACAGTTTATTTCATAGTTATTCTAAGGATTGAATACTATCTTGGGAATAGATGGCCAATAGATTACCCAATTAGAACAGTAATCTTTAGATATTCTAATAGTTTTGCTTAGCAATGCCTTTTTTTTTTTTCTTGCAAAAATCACTTGGCAGGTTTGATGAAAAAGAAAATGTGTCCAACTGCATCCAGCTGAAAACATCTGTTATTAAGGGTATTAAGAACCAGTTGATAGAGCAATTTCCAGGTATTGAACCATGGCTTAATCAAATCATGCCTAAGAAAGATCCTGTCAAAATAGTGCGATGGTAAGTCTTTGCTTTTCTCTGTGTAAAGCTTAGAGTAGCTGAATGTTTAATGTTTATGTTGCTCTTATTCTAAATGAAATTATTTTCACATTAACTATTGATAGATTAATGATAATAATAGACACAGTGACAATAAAATATCATGTATTTGTATTTTCAGATATTTCCTATATGCATGAAAAGTGTGGTTTTATGTATTGATTGTTTTATTAAAGGATTACATTGTAAATTTAGAGTTGAACTTATTCCTGTTTGTTTTTTTTTAGAGATATGTTTTATTATCTAACAATAGAATTCAAATAATAAAATGTAAAATAAAATTGGTTGTAGCAGGACATATTTTCTCTACTGGACTGATACTATAGGAAAAACAGTGTGAACAATGTTTTTTGGCCAGGATCTTTATTTAAAAGTTTACTATATCTCTGTATATGCTTATTTCATGTTGTAAATTTTAAAGGATATTTTATTTACATTCGTTTTCGAAAGAATATCTAACTTGGTACTTTGTGACATTTGTCTTATAGCCATGAACATATAGAAATCCTTACAGTAAACGGAGAATTACTATTTTTTAGACAAAGAGAAGGACCTTTTTATCCAACCCTAAGGTTACTTCACAAATGTAAGTCTCATTAGAAATGCACATTTGAAAGGTGTTGAAAGTGACTGCTGATAGTTAATTTGTTATTTATTAATACTAAATAATAAGGAATATAAAGCTAAAGTGAATGCCCATCTTGCGGTAAATCAGAAAAATGCAAAATCTCCAATTTTGCATTCCAGAAAGCCCAAGAAAAAAGCCTTCATTCATTCAACAAATATTTATTGAACTTACTATATGCCAGGCACTAAGTTAGGATCTGAGAATACTACTTGAAGCAAAGACAAACATGGTCCTGTCCTTATGAAGCTAGCTGAGAGAATAGACAGCAATTAGATAATCACACAAATATGTAGCCATAAACTGTGATAATGGTCAGTAGAGATAATTCTGTATATAGGAGAGCACTGGCTAAATGTGGGAGTCCCAGTTATTACTAGTTGAGTGTCATGATCAGATGTTGTGAAACCAAATACTGTTTATTTCATACCCACATTTATAGTTATTTGAGTATATTACAGAAGAAAATCATGGAAGATATAATGTCAGTGTACATAAGAGGTTTTCAAAATGGGAAGCAAAATTTCTGTTTTTTAGTCTGGTATTCTGGCCAAGAGGCAGAAGGAAAGGGAATGAATGGCAGGCTCTGTTGTTGTTGACTGAATGAATTTGGCTTTTTGGTAAGAGGAGATAAATTTGAAATTACTTAGTGGTACAGAGGTCAGGAGAAATCTGTTAGGCAAGTCTTTATAAGGGAATAGTTACACCAGGTGTGGTGGTGCATGCCTATAATCCCAGCAGGAGGCTGAGGCAGGAGGATCCTGAGTTCAAAGTTCAAAACAGCCTCAGCAATTTAGTGAGACCCTGTCTCTAAATAAAATACAAAAAAGGGCTAGGGATGTGGCTCAGTGGTTAACTACCCCTGGATTCACTCCTTGGTACCAAAAACAAAAATAGCAACAAAAAACCAAGGGAATAGTTAGAATTATTTGATTAAGTATTGGTTTTGTCAGGTTACAAAAAAACTGATGGAGTGAAATCAAGTCTTGATGCAACAAGAAATTTTTTTTTTTTTTTACAGAGAGAGAGAGAGAGAGAGAATTTTTTAACATTTATTTCTTAGTTTTCGGTGGATACAACATTTTATGTGGTGCTGAGGATCTAACCCAGTGCCCCACGCATGCCAGGCAAGCGCGCTACTGCTTGAGCCACATCCCCAGCCCAAAGAAAAATTTTTAAATGAGAATATTTTGGGGACATTAAGACATTTTGATATGGCTATTAAACTATGAGCAGAGACAAAATCAGATGTATTTCTGTTTTGAAAAACCAACAAAAATTCAAGCCTCTCCCCCCAAAATGTAAAAGACTTTCCTGAACTATTGGGGAAATTTGAATATGGTTTGGCTCTAAAATGGTAAAGTAGAATTATTAAATTTTAGGTATGACGATAGAATTGTGGTGGTATAGAATGGCTTTATTCTTAGGTTTGCTTATTTATGATGAGGCATTATGTCTGAACTAACTTTCAAATGATAGAAGAAAATATGTGTGTATAAATAGAGATAAAGCGAATAAAGCACAGTGTTAATGAATAATTATTAGATGTAGGTGGATAGTGTCCAGCTATTCTTTCAATTTTTCTATAAATTGAGCATTATCATAAATTTGGGGAAAAGGATGTTCCTATTTAATAGTATTGTATGGGATCAGCCTTTTAGAACATCTTTCTTATTTTTATGCAAAAAGTAGAATAAGGACTGGGACCATGGAGCATGCCTGTAATCCCAGTGGCTTGGGAGGCTGAGACAGGAGGATTGCGAGTTCAGTGCCAACCTCAGCAATTTAGTGAGGTGCTAAGCAGCTCAGAGAGATCCTGTCTCTAAATAAAATACAAAATAGGGCTGGGGATGTTGCTCAGTGGCTGAGTGCCCCTGAGTTCAATCCCTGATACCCTCCCAAAAAAGAAAAAGTAGAATAAGTGGCTGGGGTTGTGGCTTACTGGTAGAGCACTTGCCTAGCATGTATGAGGCACTGGGTTCGAGCCTTAGCACCACATGAAAATAAATAAATAAAGATATTGTATCCATCTACAACTAAAAATATTTTGTAAAAAATAGAATAATATGGTGGTTTAAAACATGAACATGGATTCTATTCCGGGTACATATCATTTGGCAAGTCACTTACCCTCTTCAAGCTTTGTTTTCTTATCTTTAAAAATGGGACACTAAAGTGGGCTGGGGATATAGCTCAGTTGGTAGAGTGCTTGCCTCACATGCACAAGGTCCTGGGTTCAATCCCCAGTCCCACACACATAGACACAAAACGGATACTATAATTATGTGTCTCCTGGGCTGGGATTGTGGTTCAAGAGTACTTGCCTAGCACGTGAGAGGCACTGGGTTCGATCCTCAGCACCACATAAAAATAAAATAAAGATATTGTATCCACCTAAGACTGACTGACTAAATAAATAAACATTTTTTTAAAAAAATTGTGTATCTCCTGTGGGTTGTGAGGATTAAATGAGACAGTGCATATAATATACCTAACATAATGCCTGGAAAGCAGCAGGCATTCATTATATGACAACTATTACAGTGAAGTAGTAATTGTTCAATAAGTGTTTACTACTACTTATCATGATTATCATCATCATCATCAAGGGACTGTTATTAATGAGGTTGAAGATCTAAGAAACAAATTATGGTTTGTGAGTAGTGAATACATTCAGTCAGGTTCCCTTGTTTTTGTACTTTAGTAATAATTGGATGTAAGTAATCCAATACACTAACAATAGTTATTTCAATTACTTTGGTGCTATGTTTAAATTAATCTGATCTTTTTTGTTTTTGTTTTTAGTACTGAGAATTGAACCCAGGGGTGCTTAACTATTGAGCCACATCCCCAGCCCTTTTTATTTTTTTATTTAGAGATGTTGTCTCTTTAAGTTGCTTTAAGGCCTCACTAAGTTGCTGAGGCTAGCTTTGAACTTGCTATCCTCTTGTCTCAGCTTCTCCAGTTGCTGGGATTACAGGCATGTGCCACCACGCTTGGCTAATCTGTGATCTTAATAAGAAAAAGACTTAATCTGTTCTTCCACTAGTGAGAAATCTAGTGGTAAGACATTAAAATTAAGAAATTTTACCTATTATTGTCATTTCTAGAGAGTGCTGAAAAGCTTAAAAAGTTTTTCTCCCATTGTTTGAAACCCTCTAGGGATCCTTTAACTACTTGGTTATGAGTTATTAGTAGACATCACACACATGCATTTTTTTAAGATTACAAGAGGATATGTGCACATATTTTGGTAAATACAGAAATAACCAATAATTACTTATTTCTATGACCTAGAGTTGACTATTGTTAGCATGTTGGATTACTTACATCCAATTATTACTTACATCCAATTATTTTCTGTAATATGTGTAAATGCTTATTTTGGTGCTAGGGATTGAACCTGAGGCCTTGTGCATACTAAGTATGCACTCCACCACTGTACTATACCCCCAGCCTGTTTGTCCTCTTAAGATTGGGCTCTTTTTTTAAAATTTTTTTTTTAAGAGAGAGTGAGAGAGGGGAGAGAGAGAGAGAATTTTTAATATTTATTTTTTAGTTCTCGGCGGACACAACATCTTTGTTGGTATGTGGTGCTGAGGATCGAACCCGGGCCGCATGCATGCCAGGCGAGCACGCTACCGCTTGAGCCACATCCCCAGCCCAAGATTGGGCTCTTTTTAAATGTAGTTTCCCCTATTACTAACATCTTACATTGGTACTATACAGTTACAATTTCTGAACGGATACTGATGCATTATTATTAATGAAAGTCTATAGTTTAAATTCAGGTTTACTCTTCCTTTTGTTCAGTTCTGTGGTTTTGCCAGATACATAGTGTCCAGTATCCAGTGTTACAGCATCATATAGTAAAACATTCCTGGTATTCTACCTATTCATCCTTCCTCCTTCTCCCCTACCCTGACCCCTAGTAACCTCTGGTATTTTTCAGTTTTTTATTCTGCTTTCTTCATTTATCATTAACATTTCCTAGGGCATTCAGTGTTCTCTAAAAACAATGTTCTATTATATATGTGTATGACTTTTTCATAGACATACCTTAAGTCATTTATCTTTACCTTATTGTTAGACATTTAGGTTGATCTCAGTTTATTTCAGTCTTATTAATTTATATAATTTATTTCTTCTCTTCTAGATCCTTTTATTCTGCCACACCAGCAGGTTGATAAAGGAGCCATCAAATTTGTACTCAGTGGAGCAAATATCATGTGTCCAGGCTTAACTTCTCCTGGAGCTAAGCTTTACCCTGCTGCAGTAGATACCATTGTTGTATCCTTCCCAGGCTCTAACTGCTAAAAAATGTATTCATTGTGTTCTTGTCATTAATGAATGATCTATCATCTAAGAGAACACATTATATGTACTTTTTTAGAGGATACTGTTCCTGTTGTTCATGCCTTTCTGATTATAGTAGAAGTAATGAGAGTAACTTTTTATTTCTTGATTCGAAATTGTTTCATTTGAGGTAGTTTCATAGAAATTAAATGGAATCAAGTTATATATTATAAGTCACAGCTGCTGGGTAGCAGTGCATTCTGTAATCTCAGCTACTTGGGAGGCTTAGGTGCGAGGATCACAAGGTGGTCCGCCTTGGCAACTTAGGGAGACCCTGTCCCCAAAAAAATGTGTCTGGGGAGAGGATGGGTGTATGTTTCTCAGTGATAGAGTGCCCCTGAGTTCATTCCCCAGTGCAGAGAAACAAAAATCACAGCTGCATTGCAACCCAGCCCAGTTAGGGCTTATTGTTACTAGATTCAGGATACAATCTAACTTTTGATTACTAATCAGAAGAATACAGGTGATATGAGTGGATTAGTATTTTGGACATTAACTTACCTCTCTTATTGGGGATTGAAACCAGGGGCACTTTATCGCCAAGCTATGTCCCTAGCCTTTTTATTTATTTATTTTTTAGTTTTTGGCGGACACAACATCTTTGTTTGTATGTGGTGCTGAGGATCGAACCTGGGCCGCACGCATGCCAGGCGAGTGTGCTACCGCTTGAGCCAAATCCCCAGCCCCCTGTCCCTAGCTTTTTAATTTTTTTTTTAAGACAGGGTTTTACCAATTTGCACAGGATGTCCTCAAATTAATTTGTGATCCTACTGCTTCAGCTTCCTAAGAAGCTATGATTAAAGGCATGCACCACTACACCTAGCTCCCAAGTAGATATAAGGATCTATTCAACTCCTGACATAGTTGAATAATTCTGCATTATTTGTATTTCTCTATGTAGTGCTATTTCAACTATATTCTGGATTAAATAGATTTTTGTCAACGAGTCTGTACCAGGAGGTCATCTCCTTTGCCATAGGCAAAGTGGCCATTTGCCTCAGGTTAAGAAATAGGGAAATTGTTGAGTATGTCCTGTGCTCAAAAGAGGCTATCCTCTGTTTTGGCAGTTTTAGCTAAAGGTTAGAATAAGTTGTGTGTTTTCTTTTAGGAACAACTTGTGTTTTATAGATACTATTCACATAATGGGTGCTCAAATATTTGTGGAACATTGAATGAATTGAAAACTAATGGAGAAAAGTATTCTTTTTCATGTGTATGATTTCTCTAAGTGTTGGTAGGTTTTTAGTTTTGGACTTTCCTTTAAGTGGAACATTTTCCTAGTACTAGACATTGTTTTTGGTGGGTGGGTGGGGGTGCTGGGATTTGAACCCAGGCCCTTGTATATGCAGGGCAAGCACTCTACCATCTGAGCTGTATATCCTCAGCTCCTTAATACTTTATTTGTTTTTTGTTTTTTTTTTTTGAGACAAGGTCTCACTGTGTTGCCCAGGCTGATCTTGGACTCCATGGGCTCTAGTGATGCTCTTGTGTAGCTGGGATTACAGGTACGTGCCACTATACCCAGCTACAATTGTTACTTCAATGTGTACTTTACATAAAGCCACCATTCAATGGTCAAAATAGTAGAATGCAAGTTATCCCACTGTTTGGTAATAATGCACCAATAAAAAAGAAAAAACAAGACAGACACTAAAATAATTGATATTTATTTATGTGCAAGAAATTTTATCGTTTTTTGTATGACATGGTTTTGTTAGCATGGTATGTAGTATTAATATTTGACTTAACCAAAATGATAATTAAGAACATTTTTATTTAACATTTCTTGAATGTGCTCATATCCCCTGCCCTCATGGAGTCAGTAGTCAGGAGAGGACACAAGATGGGTTCAAAGTGGCTAACTATTAACACAAGTAATACTTGACACATTTCCCTCCCTGCAAGGCATTTTGAGAGATAGTTTTCTTAGCTATGTGTTTTCAGGCAATCATGGCAGAAGGAAAACAGCATGCTCTATGTGTTGGAGTCATGAAGATGTCTGCAGAAGATATGTAAGTCTCACTTTAGGCCCCCTTAGCTTTTGAGATATGGAGCCTAGGAAGTATCAGAATTACAGATGAAATTTGCTCATTCATACCACATCTTACAAATTACTAAGCACAGAAGCCTAATTTTTGATGTTTCCTAACATTTAGAAAGCCACTGAAGCCTCTTTTGTCTTCAGTATTGCATTCTTCTTCTTCTTCTTTTTTTTTTTTTTTTGTGGTGCTGGGGATTGAACCCAGGGCCTTGTGTATGTGAGGCAAGCACTCTATCAGCTGAGCTATATCCCCAACCCCATTCTTTCTTTTTTCCTTTTTTTTTTTTTTTTTTTTGTGTGTGTGTGTGTGTGTGTTGCCGGGGATTGAACCCAGGGCCTTATGCATGCTAGGCAAGCACTCTACCAACTGAGCTATATCCCCAGCCCCCACATTCTTTCTTAAGTACTATGAAAAGAACCCATGTGCCTACACAGGTGTTTTATATGTATATATGGTACTTTAGGAATTTTTATTTAATATCTTACAAATTGAGAGGGGAAAATATGTTTTGCTGCTAGCTTTTAAAAGTGACACAGTTCAGCACTATGTAATATTTGTCTTAGATTCTAACTTGGTAGTATATGAAATGTAGAATATTAGAACTTTTAAATGTATTTTACCAAAATATAGGCAATATATTTTAAAAGTTTGGAACCCATTTGATGAGCAAAATTAGTACTATTAATTTTGTTTTAAGGTTTAATACTTTGATATTCTCCTGGTCTTGTGATATGATTACTGAGTTTGTATAGGCTCACTAGTTAGATTGCTTAAATCACTTTACAACATGAACTGAAGCAGAGTAATGAGCCTAAAATAGATAATAAGTGTAACAAAAATAAATTCCCTACATGTGTCTCAATAACTAGAAAATAACATTGCACTTTGTTTGCCATGAATAAAACTATAAAAATGTGTTTATGTGTTTTTCCCCTTCTACAGCGAGAAAGTCAACAAAGGAATTGGCATTGAAAATATCCATTATTTAAATGATGGGCTGTGGCATATGAAGACATATAAGTGATCCTCAGAAGGAATGCACTTGGGCTAAATATGGATATTGTGCTGTATCTGTGTTTGTGTCTGTGTGTGACAGCATGAAGACAATGCCTCTGTGGTTATGCTGAATAAATTCTACAGATGCTAAAATTCTGTTAGCTTCAGAAATTATTTTAATTTTTCTTAAACTCAGAATTGGGTAGCACACTTGGACATTAAAGGGTATTTGGTAACTAACTAAACAGACAACTTAATGTCCTATAAGGTTAATGATAGAAGATGAATTGGTAACTGAACTTGCCAGTTTATGGTGACCCCCAAATAATTTGTCAAGTTAATGGGGCTAAAAGCCAGACTGGGAATTTTATACTGTTATCCCAGGTCACCCAGCAGTACTTTTGTGTCTGTGTGTGTATTCCTGTGTGTGTTTGTTTGTTGTTGTTTAAATTTTCATTATGGAAAGTTCCTAACATATTCAAAAGCATGGGAAATAGTATAATGGGCCCTTTTTATCCATCACCCAGCTTTAATTTTTGGCCATCAATAACTACATTAATATGTATCTTTAAAAGATAAAAATAACCATAATAGCATGATCCCACCTAAAAAATTTTAACTATTTCCTAATATGATCATCTAAACTATTCAAATTCCCTCAGTTGTCTCTCTTTAAATTTTATTAGTTGTTGGTTTGCTTGAAGTAGGTAACAGATAAGATGTGTATGTTGCATATCGTTGTTGTAAATTCCTCTCCTTTTATCCTTTAAATTACATCTCAGCTTTTTGTTTGTTTGGTTGGTTTATAGTGCTAGGGATCAAACCCAAAGGCCTTGCACATGCTAGGCAAGTGCTCTATTGCTGAGCTCTGTTCCCAGCCCTATCCATTGAAGTAATTATTTAAGAAGTGTAGTTCATTTGTAAAGTTTTCCCATACATTCTGGATTTTGTAGCACTATGAAGTCATATAACATAAGTTTTATGTCCCCTATGTATCCTATGTACACATTGAAGGCTGAATCAGATTAAGGTTCAATTATTTTAGTGCCTTAAGTAAAATCATACCAAAGGACACTCACAACTTCCACATTCGGGTCCCCACCTTATTCCCCAAAGACTATGAATCTCCTTTCCTAAGGGCCATGGATCTACTTTAATAAGAATAGTAATTTGTTTTGAGAGCTTAAAAAGCAGCTGTGAATTTGTTTAGTGATAAAGGCCTTTCCTCCTCATAACCTTGCTATTATATTAGTGTCTCAGCCATCTGCATTTGGTTGTTTACCAATAGATGACATGTGATTTTATTTTTCAGATGGATACAGACATTTACAAGATTTTGGTGAATCGTGTTACAGTTAGAAGTTGGTGAGAAAGGTGAGGGTGGATAGTAAAAAGAGAGAGATTATTCTGCTGGCTGTTCCAGCTCAGCCTCTCTGGGTCTCACATAGGTGAATATAGATCCAGAGTCTGACCCTCAGATTAAGAAATCATTTCTCACTGATGAAACTTGTAAGACTTGGAGATTTCCCAGGTAGAATGTAAATGTATTGATTTATAGCAATAGGTCTACCTAGGGTAAACAGTAGTAACTAGAACATTTCTTGGTAAACATGGAAAAAGTAAACAAAGGTTGATAACTTGGGATAATATTTCATCTGGGCTGGTTTAAGTTTTGGAGAATTTTTCCTGCTTCATTATTACTTAGAATGCTTATCTGCTAAAGTCTCATCTTTTCTAAGATATTTCTGTAAAAATGCCCTGATATTTTACTTCCTGTATCCTTTTCAAGTTCTATGTATAATATTTTCCTTTTGGTATACCAGTTATATTCTTGAACTTAGCATATTGTTTTGGTTTATTATTCCTGGTATATAAAAGTATAAATAGTCTCATCAGTAATATAGTTAGAAATCATCTCTCAGGAGAGGTGTCTTCATCAGATATATGCCAGCTTACTGGTTTCAGAATCTGTTGTCTCCCCATTTGGGGGAGGAAACACACTATTTGAGATCTGTAGCTTATATTCCTAAAAAGAATATATGTATCATTTGTATCAAAGCCAAGTTTTGAACTTGTATCTTTTTGCAGTGCTGAGGATCGAATCCAGGGCCTCATATATGCCAGGCAGGCACTCTACCACTGAGTACAACTCCAGCCCTGAACTTTTGTTTTTGATGCTTAGATAACATTAATTGGCCAAGATTACCTGTGAAGAGTTAGCAATGAAAAACAAAGTACACACAAACACATATTGGAGAAGTTACAACTTTTTATTGCCTGGTTTTTGAAATGATTTATCCTTGTATCTAACCATTAGTACAGTGAGGTATAGAGAACACTTTTTAAATATTCAACATCAACATCTGTGCTTGTTTTTCTACTATGCTGAGGTACACTGAATATGTTGCCTTGGTGATGTGTACTAAATATGTATGTTCCCTACCTCCCCTGGGTCTGAGTCCTCAGCTCATCCATTTGTTTTAATCAGGGTTATCACTCTAAATGTACAGGCTTTTTCAGCTTCTCAACATTAGGTCATGCATGGAAGCCGATTCAGAGAGGTTAAACTAGCAGGTATATCAGCCTCTTTAGATACTGTGGTTGAAGGAAACTTGTTTACCCATATCCCCAAGAGTAGGAATACAGGGAGAGCCTGTTTTCTCTCAAGCAATGTGTTTCCAGTTCATTTTAAGTTTCAAAATTAATTTTGTGTCAAACCACTTTACCAGCTAGCCATGCCTATGTATTTTAATCACTTTTACTTAGCCAATGTCAATTTAGCTCAGTGGGTATTTATTATCTACTAGATTTTAGGTGATGTGGCACAAAGATGAATAATACACTAGTAGCTGCCCTTAAGAAGCTTCCAGTCTAGTTAGTAAAGAAAATTTAAGCTGTGCACGGTGGCTGGGAGGTTGAGCAAGTTCAAAGCCAGCCTCAGCAATTTAGCAAGGCCCTGAGTAACTTAGGGAGACCCTGTCTAAAAATAAAAAGGGCTGGGGATGTGGCTCAGTGGTTAAGTGCCGCTGGGTTCAATCCCTGTTACCCCCCCCCCCCAAAAAAAAAGAAAGAAAGAAAATTCATATTTTAAAAAAATCTGGGTAATGGTGGCAGCCTAACACCAGTATGAAGTCAGTAGGAATTTATAAATGCTTTTACAATTTCAGTCACCAAAACTTGCAAATTACACATGAACCAAACACAAAAATAGTCCTTAGGTTGTACTCAATATGAGGCTAAAAAGTCCGAATATTTTGTAGTTGCAACAATTCATTGTTCCAGTTCTGATGGTTGTCCCATTGTCCAGCCTCTGCCTGACCAGTCCTCTCTGGCAGACTGTTAACAGTGGTTTGGTGGCATTCTGTTGGCAGCTGCATTTTTTTCTTTCATTTTCTCTCTTGTCTTTTTGTGTTTTCTGGACCCCAAACAAAAGCAGCTGGGTTTATCCCAGGGGTAATTGTGAACATTTCCAATTTGAGGGATTTGATATTCCCCAAACAGAAGTTCATATGGTGTTTATCAAACAATGATTACATCCAGCCAAGTTCCCTCTCTATACAAATCAGCAACTGAGGATACATTATTTCTAAGTACAGTACTTCAGAAGAAGACATAACAATGGCAATTCACTAAATTTGCTGAAGTATTTCATTATAATTCACTTTTTGTTATTCATGAAAATATTTATGTAGCAAGTATATATTAATGGAAATGACTGTATGCCCAAACAAAATGTGGTAAATATTTTAACTTTGTTTATCTAGGTTCCTTAATTTTGAGAATATATCTCAAGCTCTTCAAGAAACTCAAAATGATTCCAATATCTAAAGGAGTATCCACTAAAACAGATTTGTAATGAGTGAAAATGTATGCATCCTATGTCAATATAACCACATCTGAGGTCTCAAGCAATCAGAAACTTACTCAAGTTATTCAATAACTATAAGAATTAGGCAGTTAGAATATTTTGGAAGCCCTATAGAACACTTATGTTTAATATGTTACTAGTCGTATCAAGGCAGTAAAGATTACACTAAATATAATTGTACTCTTAATATCAGCCTTTAAGCAGCAGTTCCTAAAGAAACCATACCTGACAACATGGAGGCTGATGCATGTAAATGTATTCTATTTTTTGTATGTATTTTATACTTTGTATGTATACTTTTAATGGCAGGTAAAATAATGAGTTGAAAGACCAACAATAACATCAATTTGTTCAATATTGATTAAAACCAATTAAGTACTAGTAAAGGACCACAAGGCCATCAGATCAGGGGTGAATGAACAGATTTGAAGCCAGTTTTTAAATCAATGTTGAGATTATAAGGCAGGTTTCTTTGTTTAAGAGGCTAGCCTTTTAGAGAATATAATTTATTCATAGAAAAAATAAGAAGGATGAATGGAATTTTTTCTAATAATATCATGTTTACTAAGAATAGGTCGTGAGGAGGAAAAGTTAAAGAAAAACTCATTAGTACAATTAATATTTGCCTCTTGAAGTGAAAATTAAAGAATTCCAAATTTTATCCTTGAAGACTTTGAGAAATGAGAGATGCATTAGTAAAGTAGTTTATACTTAAAATCCTAGTTGTAACAAAGAATGGCATGCCTCATTATTAATTAGATGGATTGTTTTGGCAATTTGTGAAATATTCCAAACAGAACTGATGTTTCAGATGACTAAAATTTAGACTTGGATTAGAGGAACGAAGTAAAAGATGGGTAACCATTAAAAGTAGTTAATTAAAAATTGGGCTGTGGGCATCAGTCTTATGTGGAAGATTGTAATTCAACAGGCTATGATTTCCAAAATATAGCAAACTTCTTCATGTCCCCATATACCAAATTGGTTTATCTCTTAGGCAAAAACAGAAAATAAAAAAAATCAAATTTACCAAACCACTCAAACCTTTTTTAAAATCACATTCTAAAAATAGGGGAAACCCCATAATTTATATATCATAATTTTTATTACTTTTGTTTATTCCCCAATTTTTCAAATACTTTAATTTCAGCCAGTATGTGAACATGGAAGACTTAAAAAGCATAATGAATTACTTGACTTCCTTCAAGTTTATTGTAAATGTTCTCAAAACTCCGCCAAGAACATAAAGATTTGAAAGATAGGGGCTGGGGCTGTGGCTCAAGCGGTAGCGCGCTCGCCTGGCATGCGTGCGGCCCGGGTTCGATCCTCAGCACCACATACCAACAATGATGTTGTGTCTGCCCAGAACTAAAAAATAAATATTAAAATTCTCTCTCTCTCTCTCTTTAAAAACACACACACACAGGAGCTGGGGCTGGGATTGTGGCTCAGCAGTAGAGCTGCTGGCCTAGCACGTGCAAGGCCCTAGGTTCAATCCTCAGCACCACATTAAAAAAAAATATATATGAATAAAATAAAGGTATTGTGTCCAACTACAAAATAAATAAATAAATAAATAAATAAATTTTTAAAAAAAGAAAGATAACCAAGATTTATTTTTTCTTATTTTAATTTTTAATCACAAGACTTGATTGTCAATGATACTTATTAACTATCATGTAATCTCCGATGGTAAAACAAGTGATTTCTTCTGAGTTTTTACAAGCATGTAAGCAAAAGACTTGGTTTTCAGCAATAAATCATTGGTTCTAACTAAGCACTTGTTTGGAGAAAGTGTCATTTCTCCAAACGTGTCTTGAAAACAAATCCAGTTCTTTTTTTGCCTCAGGGGAAGCCATGTTGGGGAGTCTTCAGAGATCTGGCAACCCAGTTTTATTCTTACCAACTTCTGTTTTGAAAGGGAATGCCTTCTGTCTTTGTCCCCAAAATCTTTGGTTGTCCTACACTGATGCCTGATGGAGCCCTGAGGCTTATAAACAAGTAAGATGCTTTTCATGATGAAACTGCACGTTGTTCTGACACTGTCTATTAATAGTCCTGAATGAGCTTAAATTTGAGGCACCTTTTTTTTTTTTAATTATTTTTTGCTGTGCTTGGGTGGCACCCAGGGCGTAATGCATGCTCTGCATGCACTAGACTACTGAACAATACCCCTCAGCCTTGAGGCAACTTTGGAAAATATCAGGTACTTTTCATTTTGCTTCCCTTGAAATGTTTATTTCTGCATATTGATGTTTTAACTAAGTTTTAATTTCTCATTATCTGAAAGATTTTGCATGTACTTTAGTCTGAATACAGTATTTATCAATGCGAATGCTGCTCCATTCAAAATTCATTTTTGAAGCCAGAATTCACTCTTATTTGTCTGACTGGTCAGGGTGGGGGAGAGTCTTTTTTGTACTTTAGGCTCCTGACTACTTTCTTAGGGAGTTGACTTATACAAGGTTAGGGAGATGTATGCTTTTGTATGACTTAAGTTCTTTATAAAGTTTGCTGCTATAAGCATTTTGGATTTAAGAAAGTTCAACTTGAAATATATTTGAATATAGGATAGAAATAGCTTTACTTAATGGGATAATAGCTATTTTGAACCCATTAAGATCTCCTCAATAGCTTTCAAAAAGCACATGACTAGAAAAAATTTTCACTGGCATTGCTTTATTGTTTTAAAAATAGTAGGGACTGAAATGTTATTTAAAACTTGGATGCTTATACTGCACTATTTCATGTTGTGTTTCACAAGGTTAAAATTCTATATTTTGTAAAATGTCTGGAAAGGAGTCCAAAAAGTAATCTTGCTTTCTTGTTCCTGAATGCAAAGGTCTGAGAGGAGGCACATGATCTCATTAGCCTCCGGGTGTTGTCAAACACAATTCTCCCTCATGTACCAAATGCCCAGATGCATTTATTGGGATGCAGGAGTCTCACTCAAGCAGTTTTTTCCCAAACATGAAGAGAAACATCTTGGTTAAAGTGTGGGGAGATAGAAACCATATTGATTTGGGCATTTTGGCTCCAGTAATATCCACTGTGAAAGGTGGATGTTCTAAGCTAATGTCCTTTAAAAAGCAGTTCATAAATTTCTCCAAATATTTATAAAAAAGCTGTTTTATCACACAACACAGATTAAATGTACAGATGTTATCTTAAAACTATTAAGGTGTTTCCCTGTGAATTTGAATATTCACTACCAGCTGTTACATCAGTATTAATATTTTACCATCAAGAGATTTCATACAAAGGTCTGATATTTAACTCTTTAAAGGGAAATAACATTCTCTGAGTGCCTACTATGTGTTCAAGTTCTATTTACATATTTTGCTTAATCTTTATGATGCTTCCATGAGGTAGACTATAATTTTCATTTTACAAACGAGGAAACTAAGCCAGGCATGGTGATGCATGCCTGTAACCCCAGAGACTTAGGAGGCTGAGGCAGTTGTATCACAAGTTGAAACCAGCCTCAAAATAAGATGGTACTGGAGATATAGCTCAGTGGTAAACTGTCCCTGGATCCAATTCCCAGTTACAATAAACACACACCAAACAAAAAGAAGAAGAAACAACTAAGGCTCAGAGAAGTTAGCTAATAAATAACAGGTTTGGAATCTGAACTTAGGTCCACCTGAGTGCAAAGCCTGTCTTGCAGAAATCTCTTCTTTTGTATATTGTAAAGTGTTAATCTCGACCAACAGTTAAATCTCCATCTTTCTGGATTACTGGAGAGATGTGTGAATTGGCAAGCCTCTGTTCCAAATTGGGAAAAATATGGATAGGATTTCAGCGAGATGTGTGGGATGCATGCAGGTCGTGGAATGCACACAGTCTTGTGCTGCCGAGGCAATGTTTTTCTGTTCCCTCTTCAACAACAGGGCATGCTAGAAGAATCTTTAGAAGCTGAACAGTCCTCAGGTCTGAACTTTTCCTATTATTCACCTTTGAGCCAGGTGATTTGTGACTTTTTAAAGGTTAAAAGCCTTTGCTTGATCTATAAAACACAAAGGGGAGGGCTTGTTAAGAAGTGGGGTAACGAGTCTATACAATATACAGTGTAATACGCAAGGACGGGACTTGACGTTGCTTTGAAGATAGTTGTGGGGA